CCCCCCCCCCGCCATGGTGCCGCTGGGCAGGACCCGGAGCCGGCTGAAGGGCACACGTCGGCGGAGAAACTTCAGGCCCTGTGCTGGAGGCCCCTGCATCTGGGAAGGAAGCGGGTGCAAGGACGTCGTGCAGCGTCTCTCATCCTTGGTTTACCCAATCGTCTCTGATACAGGCCGCGTTCTACAAGCTCTCCCCGAGTGGGCGGCGAGAGGCAGAAGACAATCAGTGAAGCAGCCAAGTTCTGCTCTGGCTGCCCTGATGAAAGCTGGCTGCTGGCGTGGGCCGCTCGCTGGAGCACAGCTGTGGGCAAGGCCAGGTGCGGTGGGGCGGCCTCTGGGTGAGCCAGCTGCCCGGCTCCTGACTCATTCAGCCCTCTCAGCAGCAGGCCCGGGCCTCCCCCTCTGGCTGCCCTGCAAGCTTCTCCCCTCCGCGTCCGCCCCTCCCCCAAACTCCCGCGGCCCGCCCCCCCCCCCCCCTGCTCTGTATGGCCAGCTTATTTTCTTTTACTCTAGTTACCCACACCCCTCAACGGGGTCACCCTGCCCCACCCTGGGGGCTTCTTGAATTTCTAGGCAAACACTGAGACCCTGGGGCCCTGCAACCTTATCCCTCCCATCATTAAACACTGAGACTCCCCGGGGGCCAAAAACTGTGTCAGAGTGGGCCCCCACCTCCCCGTCCCCAGCACTCAGCACTGCCCTAGGCAGAGAGCAGGCACTCAGGACACGAGGGAGGGAGGAAGGAAGGAAGGAAGGCTGCAATAAATCTGCAATAAAATCCGGTTCTTAATTGACCCACCGCATCAAACCTCTCCCCAGGGCCTGTTCCAGGAAGGTTCTTTAGTCGAACCCAGTTCGGAGTGACTTCCTCTCCCGTTCCCAGTATTCCGGGACTTCTCTTGTGCGGGGACAGTGAGAACGAGGATGAGGCTGGGGACTAAATGGATTTTGCGAAGATTCACCAGATGTGGGAAGCCAGCCACACAGCCCGCAGAAGGGACAACTGACGGGAAGAATAGACATCTCTGAATGTCCAAATCTGGCCTATTCAAGACCTGGAGGCAAAAGCCACCTCCTCAATGAAGGTTTCCTGGATTTCTCTGACCAGAAGTGATCCCTCCCTCCTCTAAAACTGCACGGCACATTATCCGTCCTTCTTTCACGGACCCTCTGCAGTTTTCCATCTTGTGAGACAAGCATTATTACACACGTGACAACCATTGTATCACACGTGGTGATATAAAGGAACCAGGCAAGGCTTTGCAGTCAGGCTGCCCCAAGTTCAAATGCCACATCTCCCTCTTACTAGCCGTGCAAATGTGAAGGAGGAGCTTAACCCTTCTTATCCTCGGTTTCTTCGTCTATGAAATCAGAATAATAACTATGTGCCCTTTAGGACTTTCTTTTTCCTGCCTGCGTGGGGAGGCAATGTCACGTATGCAGCACCACATGACCTCCCACAGTCTGCCTCCTCTAACAGGGCGATGATGGGAGTTGGGGTCCTCAGGTCAGGTGTTTGCCACAGGAGATCGCATCTGGAGACTTCCCGTAAAGGGACCCTTGAGCATTCCTCAAGCTTCCTCACCACCCGCAAGGCACACCCCATCTGGGAGAAAAGCCTGAGGAAAGGGATCACGTGGAATTCATCTGTTTTCCAGTCCTGGAAACTCAGGGGCCGTTGCAGGGGGCTGCTTCGCACAGCCAGGAATGACCTAGTTGAGGCTACACAGACCTCAACCCAGAATGCGGCTGAGACCTGACGTGGGCCGCCCCTGTCAGGTGCATGGGGCTGCGTCGCCTACCAAGTACTTTCACATCCAGTACCTGCTGTGGTCCAGAGAGCAACCCGATGAAGTTGCCTACGCTGGAATCGTTATCGTCCTCATTTTACAAAAAAAGAAACTGAGGCTCAGAGCAGACAGAGAAACGTTTCATCTCTACAGCATTCAGAGGAGGAAGATTCAGATGTTGATGTCAGGAACTTGCTCAGGTGTTTTTTTTTTCCCCTCTGCCTTCTGAAGGGGGGCCTGAGAGCTCCTTTGATGGCTTCACGTCACTTTAAGGACATCCTTTTTCCTCCTGCTGATTTGCACTCGTGATGAAACAGGCATATGGCGTGTTCACTCAAAAACTCCTCAAAGACTGCTCCTCCCCAGCTATAACAAAACAAAAAATAAAAGAAATAGAGAGGGAAGGAGGAAATGCCACCCCGGAAGCCAACACAGCACCCAGAAGAGGGAGGAGGCTTCTTCAGCGGCACCCAGCTGCCGGCCCCACTGACAGGGGCCGCGGGTGCACCAGGGGCCGTAAAAGTCGTGCCATGGGTGTTTGATCGGAGTTACTTTTGAGTGGGTTCAAGACGAGAGCAGGGAACTGGCAGGGGTTAAACCCAGAAAGGCAGGGCAACTGGAGTTGGGAGAGCAAGTGCCAGGTCAGGCGGAGTGAGAGTGGGTGTCGAGAATGAGTCCAGGAAACTTGAGGGCGGCGGGGCTCCCTCTTCTGTGGTGTCTGTGTGGGTCTGAGGGCAGGTGTGGTGGCCACAGGGGCCCTGCAGGGTGGGGCGTTCCTGGCTGCAGTTTCCTTTTCTGGCTGCTGCAGGGCTGACGCTGGGTTCCTTTGCTTGCCCCGGCTGACACTGAAATGGCTTTCATGAACCGAAAGCCCTCCGAGTCTCCATCTCTAGACCAGTGGGGCCTGGGTCACACCCATGGGGAGCAAACCAGCGAGCACAGCAGCTGTCTCTGCACTGTGTCCTTTGCTCCCCCTCCCCCCAGTCCAGCAAGGGCAGGTCACTCCTGTGGTACTGATGGGGAAACTGAGGCGGGAAGCGGTAAATTACTTTCCCGAATATCACAATTCATACGTGGAGGAGTCCAGATTTGAATCCAGTCCTACCTGGCTGCACATCTCAGGCAAATTCTCCGCATGGTGCTGCTTCCCAAGCTTATGGCGAGGCTCCACCCATAGCAACAGCCCCCTAGGGTTGTCCTCTTACAAAGTCGGCCGCCTATGTGTCAACGGAGAACTAAAAGGGACCAGTGGTATGGGACACTTCTATCATCTCTTTCCTTTGCCCAAAGAGAATAAACACTAATACCGAAGGCAGTGGGGCAGAAAGCCATTTGCCCAAATGTCCTTGCCAGAGACAAACAGATAAACCTTCTTGCAAGCTTGGTTATATATTAACTCAGCACCCAAGGGCACTGTCCCATACAAGCAAGACGGTGTCCCTGCCTTTACCTCTGAGCTGAGCAAAAGGAGCCCCAGCATCCAGCCACTCTCCCGCCATACTGAGGAGCCCCCAGAGCCCCCAGCGCTGGGGTCCATCCCCCTCCATCATGGAGTCGCATTCGGGCGACGCAGACGCACACAGCCAGTCCGGACGAGCAAAGAGAGTCAAGCCTCATGTCAAAGCTGAGAGTCTCCTGACCCAGGAGAGCTCAGTCCACACCCTGTACCTGCTCTGCTCTGTGCCTACTTCTGCACGCATCCATACGGCGTCACCCACTCACTTCTGGTCTCACCCACCGTGAGCAGGCAGAGCCCAGCGGCATTGTTGACTGCTTCGGGTGAGAGCTGCCTCTTCCGTATGTACCAGAGTCTCTGCTATCTCTACTCTGTCATCCGCTGGCGGCTGAGAGCCACATATGTCGTCCTGAGCCCGTGACTGCTGTTGCTGTGGACGCAGTGGGGTGGCAGCAGGGGAGCAGGGCGGTGATACGTGTCACTGGTGCTGCAGGAGGGCTTTGGCCATTTCCTAAACTGCTGACATCTCAATTCTCAGCATAGGTGCCAGCTTGCCCTCCCAACTGGGTCATAAAAAGAAAACGCATATATCTGGAAGCCTACTTCCATTCCTTAACTAATCCCCCACTACTCCACGTGATGTTAAAATCTTAAGATGTAGGGGCCCCTTGGGTGGCTCAGTAGGTTAAGCGACCGACTTCAACTCAGGTCATGATCTCATGGTTCGTGAGTTCGAGCCCCGCATTGGGCTCTGCTCTGACAGTGCAGAGCCTGCTTGGGACGCTCAATCTCTCTCTGTCTCTCTCTCCATCTCGAAATAAATAAAACTTACAAAACAAAAAGATTTTAAAATCTTCAGAAGTAGAACATGGGTGTTGGCAGTAAGCCATCACCTCTTAGAGCAAGTGAGGAATAAAAAGAAAAACAAATAAACAGACCAAAAAAAAAAAAAAAAAACCCAGAACGATGTCTTCCTCTTAGGCAGTTAACAGTGTAGGCCGGACAATAACTTTCAGGCTGATAACCCCAACACAGGACTGGAACCTAAAATAAACCAGACAATGGGCCCCAAAGAAACCAAACAGGCAGTAAGACTCCCCCCATCCCCACCCCATCCATACTTACCAGTCAAGTCACGGGACCCTCTGCAAATACACTCTCACTCTGGTCACTCTCACTAGACCTCAAGACTAAAGGCCACCCCCAATCCCCCCCCCCCACTTTCATATCTCAAAGCCTCCATCTAGAAGGACCCTCTCCTCCTTCACCTGGCTCATGCCTACCTAAGCTTCATGCTACCCCCTCTGCGAAGCCTCTCCTAACCCACCCAACAATCATAATAGACTGTTGCCCACTCTTACCCTCTCCTGTATTGAGCATAGCTATTTGATAGCACTCGTCTCATTTTGTTGTAGTTATTCCTCGTAAAATTCAGGCTTGTAGGGGGTGCCTGGGTGGCTCAGTCAGTGAAGCGTCTAACTCTTGATTTCGGCTCAGGTCACGATCTCACGGGTTTGAGAGTTTGAGCCCCGCACTGGGCTCTGTGCTGACAGCACAGAACCTGCTTGGGATCCTCTCTCCTTCTCCCTCTGCCCCTCTCCCACTTGTGCGCGTGCAGTCTCTCAAAGTAAGTAAGTAAAATTTAAAAAATCAGACTTTGAGAATACTTCAAATTGTTCTCAAACAGGAATGATATTGTACAAACCCCAAACCCACCTTATAGTAGCTTCTCGGCAAATGTTTACTGAATGGACCCGTGAGTGACCAGATAAAATACCTTTATAATTACAAACTTCAGTTGACCCTTGAACAACGCAGGGTTTAGGGGCACTGACCCCCCCCCCCAAAGTTGAAAATCGGAGTATAATTTTTGATTCCCCAAAATCTTTTTTTTTTTATTTAAAAAAAATTTTTTTTCAACGTTTATTTATTTTTGGGACAGAGAGAGACAGAGCATGAACGGGGGAGGAGCAGAGAGAGAGGGAGACACAGAATCGGAAGCAGGCTCCAGGCTCTGGGCCATCAGCCCAGAGCCTGACGCGGGGCTCGAACTCCCGGACCACGAGATCGTGACCTGGCTGAAGTCGGACGCTTAACCGACTGCGCCACCCAGGCGCCCCTCTTCCTCCTTTCTTAGTAACATTTTCTTTCCTTCAGCTTACTTTATTGTAAGAACACAGTATGTAACACATATAACATACAAAATATCGATACATCGACTATGTTGCCCATAAGGCTTCTGGTCAACAGTAGGGTGAAAAAAAAATTAAAAAAAAAAAAAAAGAAAGGAGGAAGAGAAAATACATTGACAGTGCAACACTGTATATTTACTTAAATCTGCGTATAAGTGGATTCAAACCCGTGTTGTTCCAGAGTCCACTGTATTTCTTTATGTGATCTCCCAGCACCCGTCATATAGGAAAGAACAAATATCATCATCCCCATTTTGTAGATGAGGGCAAGGCCACAAGGTTCACTCTCGTCCACTCACTCAACTAATGCTTATTGTATGCAAGCTTCAGTCTAGAGCTGAGCTTCTCAAACTTTTTTTTTTTTTTTTAATTTTATTTTATTTTTTTTTTTTTTCTTTTTAAATTTTTTTTTTCAACGTTTATTTATTTTTGGGACAGAGAGAGACAGAGCATGAATGGGGGAGGGGCAGAGAGAGAGGGAGACACAGAATCGGAAACAGGCTCCAGGCTCTGAGCCATCAGCCTCTCAGAGCCTGACGCGGGGCTCGAACTCACGGACCGCGAGATCGTGACCTGGCTGAAGTCGGACGCTTAACCGACTGCGCCACCCAGGCGCCCCTATTTTTTTTTATTTTAACATTTACTCATTTTTGAGACACAGAGAAAGACAGAGAATGAGAATGGGAGGGGCAGAGAAAGGGGGAGACACAGATTCCAGAGCAGACTCCAGGCTCTGGGCTGTCAGTACAGAGCCCGACGTGGGGTTCGAACCCATGAACCACGAGATCATGATCTGAGCTGAAGTGGGGCATTTAACCCACTGAGCCATCCAGGCGCCCCTGAGCTTCTCAAACTCTAATGTGCACTCGAATTTCCTGGGGAGTTTGGTAAAAAATGCAGATTTGGATTCAGCCTGGCTGGGGTGAAGCCTAAAATTCTGCATTTCTAGCAGGCTCCCAGGTCACGGCCATGCCCTTAGTGCCGCCGGAGACTCACTTGAGTCTCACCTACCTGACAGGGTGGCTGAGAGAAAAACAAACAAACAAACAAAAAAAACATCCAGTTAGCTTGAGTACGTAGCCGGAACCAGTCTGCTTTAAAATGTTTGGAAGGAGAAAGGATAGAAAGCATCATGCCCATTTTTTAGAGAGGGAAACCAAGGGTCAGAGAGCCTGCATGACGCCTCCAAGTCCTCATCCCACCCTTGGATGCCAGTTCAGTGCAGCCTGGACTGGGGCCCACTGCGCTGCATGCTGGGAAGCGTCAGAGATGAAGGTGCCAGGTCCCACCCTCAGGAAGACGACAGGGGAGATGCACGTGTACGGGGAACTATAAACACAAAATCGACTGAGACAAGAGCCAGAAGTCCAGAGGTGGGTGAACACGTGCCAGCCACATCTTACCCCCAAAACGTGCCACATCTTTGTTTTCTGCCCACAGCCCAATTAGACTGCAGATGGGGGTCTTCTTCCATCGACCCAATCCCTTTAAAAGAGAGAGAGAGAGAGAGAGAGAGAGAGAGAGAGAGAGAGAAACAACAAAAAAACAGTGGCTTTAGGATTTTTCTTTTAAGCCCTGAACCTCTTCAGTGGAAAGTGCTGCCCTTCCGACCTGTTGATGTAATTGCCATAATTGAAGATTCCAGGCCCCCATGTGGGTGGACAGGGCCCCATTCATCCATCGGGTCAGCGAAGTGTAAACCTGCTGAGTCCTTCAGATGCCCCGGCCCTCAGCCTCCCCCTCCCACCCCCCTTCAGCCCTGCAGGCTGGGCTCCCCGCGACGCCAGGCAGCCAGGCCCAGGCTGGTCCCTCTCTCGCTCTGGGAACGGTGCCTAATTAAGGGGTCTGTTCTCATCTCCATGGGGCCCGACTTAAGGCCTCCTGACAGTAATGAGAGCCACACGTGTGGGGGTGGGGGACAGAAAGGCCAGCCCCCCTGCTGTCTTAGCACCCTATTAAACAGCAAGTCACACGCACGCACGCACGTACATTGCAATTCTGCAGTAAATCACCATCATATCTTTACAGCCGCTCCGATTCTGAAAGAGGAAGGAACCAAAGAGAAGAAAAAACTTGCCCAAGGGCACACAGTGACGCTGGACTCAGGCGTCCTGTTGCGCCTAGAAGCACAGACTTCCCCTTAGAGGGTGGGGCTCTCTGCTGCAGGCCCCGGGGAGTAGATCTGAGGGAGGAGGGGCGGGAGACAGACTCCCAACCCGATATTCTGGAGAAGCCAGTTTCAGAGGGCTGGCCACCTCAGAGCAGAAAGGAGCAGTTCGCTGGGGCTGGGGCTGTTGGGGCTCCGAGACAACCTTTGATCAGACGACAAAGGCAACCTCAGAGTGGGACATTCACTGCCGCAGGTGGATCCATGCCTAATCCTGGTCCTCGTGGTGTGAAAAGGAGCCAGCCTTGGTAGTCCCCTCTGGCGTTCTTTGTGTCCCTGTCTAACCTCCCCCCCTTCCCCTCCCCCACACCCTCCCTCCCCGCCTCCTCTCCCACCTGAGACAGGGAGCACCTGAACAAGCTTCTCTGCCACCGCTTCCTCCGGTCTCCCCAACGGAGGGACTTTGCACAGCACCCAGAGCATAGTTGGTTCTCAGTAAACATTCATTAGCTATAATAAAAGTCAAGTCGATGTTTGCCCCAACTCTAAATCATGTTAGCGCATGGTTTTAATCACAGCGTTGCTTAGAGATGGGGCCCTGAGGTGACATACAACAGAAATGCCGAAAATCACATGCGCCAAACATCAGAGATACTGGCTCATTAATAAAGACAGTGAATGAAAGGGACAGGATAGTTCCGTTGTGTCTAATTCCAACTCCAGGGCCCAGTGGTGAATCCCAAGAAGGAAGTCAACAACATCCTGGGTACTAACAATAAATCGGGAGACCCAGGGTTCTTCCAGAAGCCACCTCGCAGCCTCTCTACTCCCATATTCCTCCTTTCTACCTTCCAAGCCCCTGTGCACACCAGTTATAGACTGGTGGATCCTACCACTGGTATCCTATGACGCTCCTGCTCAAAAGCCTTCAATGGCTCCCTATTTCCTCTGCATGAAATCTTCACTGGACCTCCTCAGTCTGGCTCAGCCTTAATTCAACACCATAGTTTTCCATTGCTCTCTAGAGTACTTCTTCCCTTTTAGTTGGATTGGTCCCCTCAC